GCTACACCCCTTGCTGCCGGCGCGTGACGCGATGCCATACGCTCCCGAGATTTTCCCCAAGTGTGATAAACACTGTGCCATGAGGTTAATGGTTGCAAATGTGTTGGATCCAGATGCTGGAAGTATCAGAGAGGATGAACAAATAAGTGGGAGCAGCAAAACAAATTGCAAGATGTTCATAAGTAGGTACAAAGGATTAAAAGTAATTTTCAGTGTAGTTAGTATGTTGTCAATGGGCACAGAAACATTACATGAAAGAAACAGATAAAAAGTATACTCGTAAAAGGTTCAAATGAATATTTTTGTTTACCAAGGACTGGAATAGCATTTGTGACATCTTATTATATTGTATGTAATATGGTATAGGTGTTGCACGTGTATTGTGTGTGTTTTTGTATGGTAACGTTCCTGATTATTGTGGGATATTCTTTAATTATGGGGCAACTTGTGATAGCACATCTAATATAGCAGGGTAAACATGCGGAAGTTTTTCAATAGTGTCTATTGAGATTGTAAAGTAATACTGCAAAAAATACTGCAATTAATTCAGTGTGTACATATTTATTTATCTTCATTCATTAATTTTTTTCTTGAGGGGTGATGCAAGTAAAAAAAAAAAGCAAGTGTTTTCTGAAATTACATTTTGTTTTTCATTTGCTTTCACATGTTTGGTTTCAGTGCTTTCACAATGGAAAAAATGGAAGATTGCAATTAAGCTCAAGGTGGCTACCTAAAACTTGCAAGAGCTCATTGTCTAGAGCCCCCTGGAAATCGTCACTTGGCTGTTAGCCATTTCATTTCATGTGAGGAGTTCACTAAAGCCACATTCTCAAAATAACCATGATTGCCAAGCTCTCATAATAGAAGAAATTATTTTTAAGAAACATATTGCCTTATAGATTTGCTTTCACTTATACCTTTAAGATGCATTTTTCTGAACATTTATTTTTGCACAACTTGAGTTAAGACGTCATGTTTTTGGTACTTCTAATAGCCTGATGGAGATGAAATTTCGCCCACATATTCTTAGACATGTAATGCATGGGAACATTTTCTTTAAAACTTGATATCACCTGCATAATTATTTAAACCTACAGTGTGCAGTAAGTGTGGGCTGAGGATTTCAAGAATTCTCACTTTAGAATTTTTTCGTCCTATAAAATGTTTTGTATGCATTTCCTTGATAGGCATTTAAATCCTACAAATACTGCAGAGCAATATCAGCCATTAATAGCTCAGAACCATAAAATTTAGTGGCATAAAAAGTTTGTTCAAAATGAACCTTATAGTACATATTGTCATGGTACAAAATAAAGACTGTGCAAGTTACTCTAAAACTAATTACATATTTGAAATCAGCTTAAAAGCCTATATAACTAGCAATGTATTTAATTTCTCGATAGGCCACAGTATAGTGAAACTTTTTAATCTCGTCTCCCCTTAATAACTGAAGCCTCTGTGGGGTCATTGCAGGCATGGGATTAACAGCAAACATACAAACATCTATAAACATGCCTGCTTTAATTCTGTCTGTGGTAGCGAATGGATGTTTCCCGTGATAAAATCCAGTCTTGAATTTTATGCTGGGAAAAGCTGTATTTCAATGAAAGGTGTGCAACAAATTAGAACTGTTGAGGCTGTGGGTGACTCCTTGTTAATGAAGCTTGGAGCAAAAAAAAAAAAAAACATTTTTGTTTAGGAGTGGTGAGAAGGAAAAACTTTATTGGGCAAGCGAAAATTTCGAGAATTCTAGGTGTATAATTTTGTAAAGGGGGGTCCAGCCATACTCATCAGATGATTTGTGCTTGTACCAGTAATGACTAAGCTTGTGTCATGGCGCATACATTGGCCAACCCGCAAACTCTCGATTTGCCTATATGACCCCAGATCTCTGGCCTTCCATCCCAGTGGTACGTTAACGGCCATAGAATTCTCAATAAACTACCTCAGCTCGATTTTGAGAAAAAAAAGATACAGTAAAACAAGAAGTAGTGTTGATAAAGCAGCACAAGCTTATGTATACGACACACCCAAGAAAATGAAACATCCACACAGCTTGAAACGCTCACTGGCCACTGCCATTTCTCGCCACCCGCTTGACCTTTTTATCTGAAACATCCGGCACTCACACAAACTGGCATTCGTAGGCACATTTTCCGCCTTATGGCCCAGTTTGGAGAGGTCACAAGTAAGGGGAAAGGACTTCCAGCTTATCAGTTGGCCTGCAGGTCCGCTTTGAATGCTCCAAGGCAATGGACTGGTAATTGTGTTGACCGATCACAGGTGTCACCTGAGACAAATATTTTTCTGTCCCCCTCTCCGAGTCTCCAAATCTCAGAAGCCTTTAAGTTGGCATGTATGAATTGTATATGTTGGCCTGAAGGGTCAATATTTGCAATATTTTCAATGAACATGATAACCTAAGACAGTGCTCTGTTCATAGATAGCCAGCTTGTTTAGGGGTTTTCGATGAGGTTGAGGGCAACGCCATCAATTTTGTTACACTGCAGCTTTCCGACTGATGTTTCATAAATAAATATTTTGAAGCTTTCTGACATATCCAAAGACTTTAAAAATTAGTTGTTTTTGAAAGAGCAGAGCATATTAGGCTGAAAAACCCAATGTAAAATCATATCGGGATGCTGCAAGAACAAATGTTTATAAAAAGTGTGACAATCTGCTATGAAAAATTTTTGTCAGGGATTTTGGAGAATGGCTGAAGGTTTAAAAAGGGCTTATAATTAGCAAGCACACATTTATCTCCAGACTACTGCCTCCTGAGCATTCTTCATATTCTGTGGAAAAATGGCAGCTTTTATGGCAAAGTTGTATGGCAGACATAGATAAAATGTTTGATTTTTTATCTATTTAAATCATGACTCTTAATCATTTTAAGCATTCTTATTAATAACTTCATTTTCATCTGTTGGGCAAAGATTTCTCGCCCAGCAAGTATGCAACCTTTCAACTGCAGTTGTGAAGTATTCAATGAATTAATCCATTCAATCTGTACTCAAGCACATAAACATTGTGGAAAGGGCGTCGAGTCTGCCACGCTTTGTACTAGGTATAGAAGTCTGTGAGAGAATCGTTAAACATAGTATGTTTAGTTATATATTTAATTGCATGATACAAAAGGTAATCATCTGTAAAATGGCACGCTTCAGCTCAAGTGTGAAGGCAAAGATCATTATTAAGCAGGAATCAAAAGAATTCATTACTAAAGCTAGGGGAATGCCCCATGAAGTGGTGAAGGAGTTAGTAGAGTGGAAGCATACACTGTGTGGCAAAGAAGGTCTGATATTCAGTCGGTCAAGGATGCATTTTCTGGCATAATGAACAACTTGTGCTCAAGTTTAGTATTTGAGACAGTGTCAGATGCCTTAACTACGTCTGTAAATATAGTGTCAACCTGGGGACCTATGAGCTGCGGATGGGTACAACTTTTGTCAGTTGTGTTACAGCTCTGAGGCCCTGTATGAACACAGCTGGAAAGCACTTAAAACTTGATTAGTTTTGAGAGGCTCTGTGATATGCTTGAAGATAATGTGTTCCAATAATTTAAATGAATGTGCAGTTAAGAAAATGGGCTATAGTTAGATAATAACTGAGTGTTGTTATGGAAGCAGGCTTTTGTAATGCATGTATGGTTGGAGTTGACAGTGAGTTCCTGACGGTAACTGATTAATACCTACTCCACCAAAGTTAGTGCCAACGAGGAATATGGTGGGGATACCACATAACTTCTTGGTGCACAAGTTTAAAAAATTATGTTAAGTACACCCTGAAGGGACATTGATACTCAAGTCAATTGGGGGGTATGGTTTAAAATTAAGAGCATCAGTGTATTTTAAGAGGCATTTGAATGTTCTATAGCAGTTCCACTCACACACACATCGCATATGTCTAAGAAGCTGCTTGTGTCCTGAATGAATTGGGCCTGTTGTGTTATAGTGCTAATTTGAAGTATTTATTTATTGTTTAATATAGTGGAGACTGGAACACTGAATATATGTGCAATGATCCCCTAATTCATTATCAAATCTCAAGGGCTTATGTATCAAGCTGTTCAATTATTGACAATTGCAGGAATTCCCAAGTGAAGCAAAATTTGTGTCTTATGGGGTAACATTTTAGGATGAATGTTCCAAATATGCTGTTGTTTCCTGTGTGCTAGAGAGAATCCTGACAGTGTGCAGTATTCCACTTGCCCAGAATGGTTTGCACGTACGCATCCATCTTAACTACAACTACTGATGCACTGACCCTGCTCTCTACATCTGTGCAGCAAAACAACAAATAGTACCCTGATATTGTAAGTGTAAAGAAGTGTGGGATCAAAAGGACAAATTTTATAAATAAGATAACCTGTACAGGTCCCTACCTCAAAGGTTCTGATTTCGTGTGCCTTATTCAATGGTCTCACCAGAAAAATTCAGTACTGTATCGCACCATCTCTGGCTTTAGCCTACTTTTAGCAACAGCACATTTCTTTTGGAATCAATGTTAAATTAAGGTAGGCAGATACCAGGGGTATGTTTACCTGAAATCTTATTGCATAACATCAGCAGCCATCGAAAACGGATCTGCATGAAATTTCTTTGCATGGTCATGAAACATGTTCACATGCAAGAGAGAACTCATTTATCTAGGTTGAAACTGTCAATGCATAGGTCATGACATGCACATAGCACCTGTGTGCATGTTAGTGCATAGGTACTAGCATCGCAAAACATTTTAAAATTTTGTGGTTGATTTCATCATCACTGACTTATTGTTTAAAGAATGAGCTCCTTGGAGGGAGGTTTAGATTGTATCACAGAGCTGGCAATACCTCTCACAGGAAAGCTCTTGTTTATTTTGGTATGGTGGATATTTTGCACAACCTGGAAAGCATCTTTTGTCTGAGGTGTTATGAGTTCTCATATGCAATCGTGCTTACATTTGAAGTCCAGAGCACTGAGGCCGGATGCAGCAAACGTGTGGTCCTTACTTTGCAGGATATGGATCTCATTGAGATCCTCTGGAAGCAAGATGAGGATCTTGGTGTTTCCAGAGATACTTTTGACTACCAGGCGGCCTCTGAAAGCAGCATCAAGGAAGCGGTCAAAGCTGCAAATTTTAATGTAAGTCATATAGCCGCTGTATTCACAAAGATTTCAAACAATCAGCCACTCCAAGGTTGCATAATAGCCTATTTTGTCAGAATGAAGTACTGTAAAAGTGCAAGAGAAAATGAATCACTGCCAACCACAGCGAAGCATTGTGTGTATCATCAGCCCAAAGCATAAACCGTGCCTGCATTCCTGATATAAGCTTTGAAACGAAGGAAAGAGTAAACTAAAGGGCTCATTTCTTTTGTTAGGTACAATAATTATAAGAACTGACAATAATGCCAAGGAAAGTATAAGGGATGTTGTAAAAAGTAACTGTGTAATGTAAATTTGAAGAAAGGAAAGTGGACGAAAAGATAACTTGCCACTGCCAGGATCCGAACCTTCGACCTTTGAATAATGCCTGTGACAGCATCGAAGGTCGCAGGTTCTTGCATGTCCCCTATACTTTCCCTGGCAATATTGTCCATTAGTTCTCATTAATAATATAAGCTTTATGTTTTATATACTTTTGTTGAACCCTATTAGTGTATATTGAGGTGAGCTGGTGTGCACAAATGAAGACAAAGACGCAAAAAGACCAGACAGGCACAAACTCTGTCCAGTCTTTTGTGTCCGTGTCTTTATTTTTGCACACCAGTTTAGGTTGAAGTATGAACGAAGTCGCCAAGCTGCAAGTTTTACTGTGTATTTATAGCAATCTCTTACAATTACATAACATTTTCTTGCATTTATATCAATTCATTGATGCAACACTCACAGTCATTTTATTAGGGCACTCACTAGATTCCAGCAGACAGCATAAATGCACAACTCTGCAACTTCCAACTTTGATTTCAGTGTGGGTATACCATGTTGTTTCTCTTCTAATGCTAGATAAGGCAAGCAGTTAGGAATTCTGAATGTTGTAAATAATGGTACTGGCCCAAAAACTTTAATTTAGCATGGTATTTTTATGAACTGAATATTTTACTGAATGCAGAATATTTGTGTAATTTTTTTAAAATAAAGGTGGAGGTTAGAGTGCAACATTGGAACTTTATCATTTTTAGATGTTACTATCTCTGTACTGGAGGACTCAAAAACCAGGCCACAGTACTGTCGAAGGTTTCGAAGCGATCACTCCAGTTCTCCCCCTCTTTGCCTGACTCAGTTTGTGGGTTTGATCCTCGACTGTGGCAACTACAGTTATACGGGGCTTGCACACTTAAATAAGAGGCGCCTTCAATGAATTGCACTTGATCCACATCAGTCCACAATCGCGCACCATGGCGTTTCTTGAAAATGTAGCAGGTTTCGCTAAGCAAGACGCGAGCACAATCAGTTGCTCTGCTTTCCACAATATTTATGTGCGGCATTCATGGTGCATATAGTGACCAGCTTTTGATAAGCATGGGTGGGACCTAAAAAGAATGCCGGAAAGCCACCGATACAAAACTAGAAGTTCTTAAAAGTCCTGAATAATTATTTATGAGTTGATACTGACAGACTCGTAGGTCAAGTTTAAGTTTTGCTGTAGCACATTTTTTGCTCTTTGTAGTTTAATAAAAGAAGTCATCGGGTTGTGATCAATGTCAAACTTATTGCAGAGTACCGAAGTGCCTGAAGGTGAGCCACCTGAGGTTCACGAGGACAGCAATCCTTGGGAAGGCTTCCAGTACAGCATAGACTCGGAGACAGGTGAGAAGTGGCAGTTTTGTGCTAGGTTGGCCTTATAGAATGCATTGGTTCATCCTGAAATAGATTTGAGTGCAAAAGGGGATTGCCTGCATAGTCGTCTTGTGTCTCGTCCTTTTGCACTTGAATCTATTCTAGGCTGGCCTTGCTGCAGTAAACATGAAGCATATTTGCAGAAGATTATCGTACAGTTTTATGGTTCAAAGTAATATCTTCTGGAAATCACTTGAAAGAACCTTTTGTAGCACCAGGTGAAATATGGAAACAACAAGGGATAGACAGGGAGGACAGTCTCTGTGTCTGAAAATGACACTTATATCCTGACATAATTAACCAAAATCAAACTCACTAAGAACCAGGCTTCTTGGGCATTCGTGGCAATGTAAATGCACTTAGGAAACTACATTCATTATTTGTTATCATTGAAATGGTCATTCATTGACAGAAATGTGTTGCGATTGTTGCTGTGGATGGCAGCAGTAATAGCAAAGCCCTATTGCATCCTACCATTGTGAGATGATATGCACAGAATACATGCTTCATTGACAGAAGATTCGTTTCCCTAACCCTTTTCTTGGTTTTTTGCTGCAATGTGCTAATTTTTATTTTCCTATTTGATTCTATGTGTTTTGAAATGACTAAAAAACTGTGTAAGCGAGCTTTTTCACAGGATACAAGAAAAATATTTTTTTAAATATGTACAGGATTGCGTACACTTAAAAAAAACACATTGCAGTGCTGGTTGGTGAAACATTCTTTCTTAAGAAGTGATGCCACTTGGAGAATGCAATTTTTTTTGGAAAGTTGGTTATTTCTTGTTTTTAATTGCATTCACAAGCCTAATTCCTCTACTTTCATGACAAAAAAAAGAAGGCTGTAGCTAAACTTCAAGTAGGCGAAAATCGCCTTTAAAGAGCTCATGGTGGTTGTAGAAAAATTGGAGGACCCTTAATATTTGCCACAACGGAGTTTGAACACGATAGCAATATCAAAATAATATCAATCTTTATTTTCCACCATGGCTTTTTATTCTACTCCAAGAATTTGGAGGTCCCCCAGGCAAAAAGCAATTATAAAACCACTTGACAATGCCTGAGGCCCCACATATATGGCAGCAGTTTCAGAATTCTTGTTCTTAACAAATGATACTACAGTAAAAGAAGGAAAAATGATAAAAAAATATTAGAAGAATGTTATACATGGAGCAACAAAATAAACATGCACAGAGCAAGATAAATGCAGGGTGTTTCAGCTAAAAAGCACCAAGGGGTAAGAAATTAAACATGAGTGCTATGCATCTCCAATTAACGCTGTACTTTTCTCAACTATATATATATATCTGCCAGGCTCGACAATTAATAAAAATTACTCAATAAACTTTTTAAATAGCGACGTTAGAGAAAAATCTTCTATACAAAACTTGTAGTGCTCATCCAGAAATAATAAACTTTTCCATCTACAGTGAGATAACTGCGCTGCTCAATTTTTTTTCAGCCGTTGTTCAAAGTGCGCAAAATTTTAAAAATGCCACGTGAATGTAAGTTTGTGGAATTGTCGAAGACTGCTCATGCACGAAGGTCGCTTGAAAAGGCTATTGGTGACTACGGTGGACGTTAAGTGATGGTAGGATGGCACTGTTAAAAATGAAGAAGCAAAAAAAACAGACGAAAAAGCGGCCGCCATGCGGGAATGCAATACGAGACTGTAGGCAGTATTCAATGCAGCGCTGGTATTTTTTTTTACAGCAATACTGCTTTAATCGGAGATGCATAGCGCTAATGTTTAATTTTCTTACCTTTTGGGGCTTTTTGGCTGAAACGCTCTGTATGTATCTGCACTCATGAATAAAATAAACAATAAGCATGAAAAGACAAGGAACGTGATAAAAAGAGTAATGATTTTATTCTAGTGGTGTATTATGCATCATAAAGAAAAAAAAGTAGACAGGGGTTGAAAAAAATTACCACAAGTTTTTTTTTTGTAAACGTAAAAAAGTTTGCATTCATATTTATTAAGTAGTAAAGCTCATGCATATCCTAGAAACTGTAGAAAATAGTTTGTGAAAGAACGACTAACAAGCCTGTCAGCGCTTCGGGTTCGTGAATCCGTGCGTTGTACACTTATGTTTCATAAACCTTTAATGAATATACAAAATTGTTCCTTTGAAAAGTAGTAGTTATAAATTAGTCGGAAATTGTACATATGTTTCATATTGAATATTTTACAGTGGTGGAACAAAGAACCTGCAGAGGTACTGTGCCTGCAATATAGCGCAGTGCGCTTTTTTTGCTGAATTGTTTTTATGATTCTGGTGCCCCAGACAAGTAGGCGTTAATTTATGGAATGAAGCGCACGCCTCATTCTCGACCGTTCGCTGGCTGGGCGCCTTTCAAGGCGATGACAGAAGTCGGTGCCGTGTACTCTCGGCGCAATAAATGCATTCACATTTGCTCACAATTCTTTTTGGGGAGGTGGGGGCATTTTTTTTTATTACTCATTGTTTTTTGACTCGGTGTTTGTGTTTTAGTCAGAATTACATTTTGGCCTGGACCAGAATTTTCAAAAGCAATCGAAAAAGCCTAATGTCAATCTAGAATGGGCGTTCCGCGCACTAGTGTCGAGCGTGTGTTGGGCAGTGTGTCGGCCTCCCAATACGCTGTGTTATACTGGTCAAATGACTATGTATAGCACTGGGACAGCACCACTGGGTTTCCCAACAAAATGGCGCGTAATGAGCGCATGCATCGGGGCGTGTGCACTCATAAGGAAACATGAAGTTATGTACTGATATATGCAATGCCAATGCTGTTGATGCTACATCAGTGGAACCTCGCACAGGAGATCGGCTGCTGCAGAATCAGATATGGAAAGCCTACAATGTAGCCACTGTAGTGAAGAAAGAAACAAGAGACAGCACCCTTGCTTTGGGCCGGCTGTTCTTATTCTGACTACCTTGTTCTCTGCTTTGTGCCAGCTTGGTGTTTAGTCAGAACTTGGCCCCGACTGCCAGGGCTTGAAGTTCTGGTGGGCATGGCCGGCTGTATTGCAGTGGTCTGTCCTGACCACGCTGCGACTTGGCTTGCGAATTAGACAGAGCCTGTTTAGAGAGCGGCTCTGGTTATTTTGTAGTGGCTGGCACTGGCTATGTCGTAGCAGTCGCAGGTCTTGAAGATGCTGGGGTTTGGCTTGGAGTGCTGCTGATGATGATAGCTCTGGTTTGTAGCACTGACTGTCTTTATGGTCACATGCTTGAGCTGGCTGTGTGCAGTTTTCGGTCGCACGTATGATCTAATTTGTGCTGCTCTTTCACATTTATGCCTCGAGTATGTACATACTGACTGGAGGAAGAATGCGAACAAGTTTTGACATTCCTGCACGTCCTGCCAAGATTGTCATGGGCATCCAAAAGTACCTCAGCTGTGGTGCTTGTCCCTATGAACTTGTCGGCACTCGGTTGGTCAGTTACGGATGCTGTGCGAGAAACCTCCATGTTGTGGTACGCGCGACCTGGAGGCAACTCAGTGGCAGTTCTTCTGGTAAGCGTGTATCCACACGATGGACATATCCGCACAGATCTCTTCGGCGGATGATCGTTCGGCCGCCCGTCTGGCTGCGAAGCACATCCAGATGACATACGAAGCGAGCAAACGAACGCGCTGGAGAAAAAAAAACATGGCGGCACTGTCGGAAGCGAGAGCTGCCCGCTTCGAATATTTAAGCTCTTCGTCGCGCATTGCGAGGGCTGTTATGCTCAAACTAATGGTTGTGTCAGCTTTAGGTTTGTGTCCTCAAGCTTTGGCGGCAGCGTATACATGACAATTTGGTACTGTTTCCGAGCGCCGCGCGCGTTTTCTGAAAACTGTAGGCTTAGCGAATGCCGCTATTGGCACAACATGAGCTCAGCGATCTGTGATAGCGCGAGGGCTACCAAATCTCGGAGTTCATAATAATGTGCGAATGCTTTCTTATTCATATTTTCTCTAGATGGCATGACTGAAAGTCAAAAACCAATTCATTGCGAGCAAAAGTATTGAAGGTTTATGTTTTCATCTATGGCTAAATTTACAAAACCAAACGAGAAGAAAAAAGTTAGCGCTTGTTGCCAGACCTGTAATGGTGTCCTCAGCTAAATCTGTTTTGTTATTTCGCGCGAATCCGACTGTGAAAAATAGCTTGGCATTCTCCGTCCATGACGTCCGTGGATCCGGCACGAATGGCAGAAATCGGCGACTTGGGGTGACGTGATGCTCAGTCCGCTGCGGAAAAGACGGATTTAGTCCGTTGTGTGGATACACGCTAAACGAGCTCACATGCCGTGGGCCGGGGCTTGTGAATATTGGCTTCTTTTGGCTGAGGCTTGCAGTTGGCATAGTTGTCTGGTGGTGCGGGATTTGCAGAATTCAAAAGGTGTGGCATGGAGCCCTGCTTGCGGCTGGTTTCAATGTCGAGCTCGTTTTCTTTCACGTCTGCGATTCTGTCTGTGCAGTGGCTCATGGGAACACACAGGCAATCGAAGTACTTCCCCTCACAAACCATTTCTCTAAAAGAGGGCTGGTTGGAGGATGGTAAAACTGCACCGTCGTGACGATGGCCTTTTCGAGCTAGGGTTCCAAGAGGTGCACTGCCGACGTGGTCAGTCATAGAAACTTCTATTTGCGGTAGAGCCTGGGTCGACATGGATATAGTGGAAGGCATGGAAAAGCGGGCTAAATATATACGCTAACCTGGTACACCATTCCGGCCAAGTTCGTTGTCTGACGCCTACGTAGTTGTGCCAGGATTTGGCAGCACCGCCAAGGCGGTTGATGTCCAGCAGCCATTTTCGATGGTCTGGCCAGGCATTGGGGGTACCAAAGGGTTCACCGTTTCGATCCACTGGACAGCATCATCCTGGAATCCTCAGAACTCCGGTAGCTCCGATGCAACTACTGATGGTAATGCGTAGCGCAAGGGTCCGGAAGTTTGGATAGTGAAACAGGCAAGCAATGACGTCGTCTGTACGA